TTCCTTAAATAAGGGCAATCATTGCCACCTGTTTATCAAAGAATGAATGACGTCACTAATAGAACTCCACACGGCTATTATTGTGAACACGCCCCTCAATGAGTGATTCAATGACACAGAATCAGCAGCATGCATGTCATGACTGTCGGGTCTGTTGGATTTCTATGACTCTACTACACCGGCTAGGAAATTATTTGCCGAAATATCATTTCCACCAAAAACAGCGATTGATCCGGTTAGTGATGTCTGACGGCTAGTATTTTCAACACAACTGTATGTGAACCCGGGCTAAAATACATTTTAAAAAAAAAAAATATGTGTTTGAAAAGTCGCTGAGCAAATATTGTGTGAAATAAAGGAATGCCACACCCACAATTGTATTCCCCGGGGCTGCTGCTGAGACAAAATATCATGTTTTGGGGTTATCAGTCGTTTTCTAGCAAAATAAAAATGTTTTTTCCATGTAGGAGGTCAGAATTGTCCTGGACTGGAAGCGGTTTATTAGTGTCTTCAGTCTACTTCCAAGTTAACTTGCTGGACCTTGTAGTCCCACAGGAGCCTTTGGGGAAGTGGGGTTGGGGGTGGGGATGCAAACATGCGCCGTACAATGCGGTCAGAAGAGAACATCAGAACATATGTCTGACCACAAGACTTAACACGTCTTTAATTACGCAGCTTTTTATAAACTCGGAGGATTTCCAGACTACACAAATACACGCAACACGTGGCGCGCCGCTCTTAAAGGGGCAGGCAGTCTTATGGTACAGATTGGGGCGCACTCACAGCCCCCTCGCCCACAGACCACCTTTAATTATACAAATAAATGTGTTTTCTGTTTTTTTCTCAAGGCTTACATAATGAAAACTAAACTAAGGGGCCATCTGCCAGTCAATAGTTCCATGTGATGGAGATCAAATTCCCTACGTCTGCCACCAGGGCTGCTGTTAGAAACCATGGGGCCCCATACAAAACCCACGGGGCCCCATACAACAAACCTGACAGGGTCCCTCCACCAAAAAAAACCCAAAAAAAACCCACAGTTTACTAGGCTTCAGTTATGAATGAACACAGTGAGTGATTGTTACTGATCACTCATTTTGTTCGTTCAGGATAGGAAGAGGCTAGTAAATGTGACATATTTACCAGACCCTTCCCCCACTCTCCATCCTGAATTACAGTTTACTATGCTTCAGTTATGAATGAACACAGTGAGTTATCAGTACTGATCACTCAATGCATTCATTCAGGAAAAGAAGGGGCTGCTAAATGTTACATACTTATGAGACCCTTCCCCCACTCTCCATCCTGAAGGATCCTATTGTGTGCTTGCAGCTGACGGTGGGAAGGAGAGGAGGGAAGCCAACAGCACTGTGGGGGCACACAGGGGGGGCTGGGCAGCAGGGGGAAGCGTATGGTGCACAGGGAGGGTGGTGGGTGCACTGGGGGGGGGCAATTACTAGAACCGACCCTCTGCAGTAGCCAGCGGGAGGGAGAGGAGAAGAAGCCACCTACTCTGCTCACATCTGATTGAACCAGCTGCCTGGCCCCCCCTGCTGACCTGGGCCCCTGTATAGCAGGAATGGTGGTACCCCCTTATCCACAGCCTTTGCTGCTGAAAGTAACCGTTCATCCTATGGACTGAGCATGGCGGAACAGTGCGCAGCAATGGGGGGGTTCCGTTTGTGTAAAGCTGAACTCCGGCCGGAACATTCTTGTAGTTGAAGACCATCAGACCCTCACTGAAGGGAGGCCGCAGCAGCATTTCCTCCAGGAAGGATTTGCAATTCATCATTTGATTTCCTTCCTATTTACCCCTCTAAAAAAGTATCGTTGTGATTAACTATTTTGCTTCCACATGCTGAGGATTACATACCCCCCCCCCCCAAAACATGACATATTATGTGAAATCAGACACCCCAATTTCTTTATGTCATCCGCAAAGGTCTAGGAAACGCAAACTGTCAGTAAAAAGGAAGTAAAGCAATTTTCAGTGCACACAGACGCAATAAATGATCCAAGTTTCGGCACAATATAAAAGATGAGGTCACACCGAGTACATAGATACCCAACATGTCAGATCTTGTATTTGTCTGCGCCCGTGAAATGGCGACAAACGTCAGTCCCTTATACCTTCTATAGGCCACGCCTCAAAAGCCCCCATCAGGTGATCAGTATAGTGTAATGGAGGAGGTCCGCCGCTAGAAATATCGCTCTCACTCCGGCGTGCGCGGCGATATGTAATGTGTATCACAATCAGTGTTTTCATGTGTAGGGGCCCCCAGAGGCGTCCCTAGGGTTGGTGTCACCCCTCCAGAGAGGAAGGCGCGGTGCCGGTGTAGCGGTAATATGAGTGTCCCGCGAAGATATGTGTCCCCTGAAGGAACTGCGCATGTGCCGGGTTCAGGCCGAAGAAGTCGATCTCCGGCTTTAGCACAGAGCTGCCACATTGAACCCCTTACAGGCTGCACACCGCTGACCCCGGAGATCACTATGGGGGGCAAGATCGGTTATCCCCGTATAGGTTGCAAGCCGGCGATCTGCAGATTGGGGAGCAGCTGGGGGGGGTGCAGCTGGATCACCCCAATAATTGTGTCACTGTGCAAGGATCACCCTAATAATTGTGTCACTGTGCAAGGATCACCCCAATAATTATGTCACTGTGCAAGGATCACCCCAATAATTGTGTCACTGTGCAAGGATCACCCCAGTAATTGTGTCACTGTGCAAGGATCACCCCAGTAATTGTGTCACTGTGCCGGGATCACCCCAATAATTGTGTCACTGTGAAAGGATCACCCCAATAATTGTGTCACTGTGCCAGGATCACCCCAATAATTGTGTCACTGTGCAAGGATCACCCCAATAATTGTGTCACTGTGCCGGGATCACCCCAATAATTGTGTCACTGTGCCGGGATCACCCCAATAATTCTGTCACTGTGCCAGGATCACCCCAATAATTGTGTCACTGTGCAAGGATCACCCCAATAATTGTGTCACTGTGCCGGGATCACCCCAATAATTGTGTCATTGTGCCGGGATCACCCTAATAATTGTGTCATTGTGCCGGGATCACCCCAATAATTATGTCACTGTGCAAGGATCACCCCAATAATTATGTCACTGAGCAAGGATCACCCCAATAATTGTGTCACTGTGCCGGGATCACCCCAATAATTGTGTCATTGTGCCGGGATCACCCCAATAATTAGTGTCACTGTGCAAGGATCACCCCAATAATTGTGTCACTGTGCAAGGATCACCCCAATAATTGTGTCACTGAGCAAGGATCACCCCAATAATTGTGTCACTGTGCAAGGATCACCCCAATAATTGTGTCACTGTGCAAGGATCACCCCAATAATTGTGTCATTGTGCCGGGATCACCCCAATAATTGTGTCACTGTGCAAGGATCACCCCAATAATTGTGTCATTGTGCCGGGATCACCCCAATAATTGTGTCACTGTGCCGGGATCACCCCAGTAACTGGCCAGGACCTTCACAGAGCCCAGAAGCTCCGCTGGCATCCTGCTCCTGCACCCCCTGTGATGGTGTCACCCAGTGCAGCCCGCGCCCCCCTAGGGACGCCACTGGGGGCCCCCAATGCATGTGTTTTTGTTCATATAAATGTTGGGGGGGGGGATTTTATGTGCTTGGGTGTAACTTTAATTTTTAACACTTAAAAAAAATTTTTTTTTCATTACATAGGGGACCAAAAACGATGATTGTGATGCGATGATTTTTAGGTGACAGGTTCTCTTTAATGACCCCCAATGCCTCCCCCGTACTCCACTGAATGTCCTGCAGTTCGCATTGCATTACATCCATTACCGGGTACGTTGGCCGGGGTCCCCGAGAGGCAGACTTGGGATTGACGTCAACCAGGTCCGCAACAAGGACGGGGGGGGTCCGCTCTGCTCCCTTCCCTCTACCCAGCAGTACCCGCTATGTCGGGCCCGGGCCAGCCAATGGGCAAGAGAAGCCCGGGATGCATGGCTAGGGTGCGTGCAGGGATGGGGGGGACATTACTGGGGGTGTGTGGAAGCACTTCACCTTCCACTTTACAGGTAGGAGTCTGCTTGTCAGATGTACACACAATCTGGGGGGCTCAGGGACAGACTGATCGTGTGAACACTCGGGTACTGCCCGAGGGCCCGGGGTCAGTAGGGGGCCCCATGAAGTGCCCCTGGTACTGTTCATAGGCTTTTCTGGGTGTGGCTGTGTGAGTGAGGACACAGGGGCCCCATGAGTTGTCAGTCCACCCCTGGGGGGGGCTGTAGCCACCAGGAATGTGTGTACCCCCCCCCCCCCCCCCCCCGGGACCTGGCAGCAGAAGGTTGAACCCCCTTGTGCCTGACATTTGTAGATTCATAGTCTGGCTGTTCCTTTCCTTCTGCTGGAGCTCTTCTGGTATTAGGAGTCCAATCTCTCCTGAAAGAGGACCTGTCACGCTTATTTCTAATAAAAGGGATATTTACATTCTGTGTAATAGGAAGAAAAGTGATAAAAAATATATAAAAGGACAGTGTAAAAATAAGAAAAAAAATGTTGTAAAGCCCCCGTCCCACCGTGCTCAAGCGCAGAAGCAAACGCATACGTAAATTGCGCACGCATATGTAAACGGTGTTGACAGCACACATGTGAGGTGTCGCCTCGAACGTCATAGCGACAGCGATCATTCTAGCGCTGGATCTCCTCTGCAACTCTAAACAGCTGACCTGTAAAAACATGTAAAGCGTGGCCTATGGAGTACTGTCATTTGTCGCCATTCCACGCCATTCCACGCGCATGGTCACAATGTGACATGTTCGGTATCTGTTTACTCGCTGTAACATCCTCTTTGATATTTAAAAAAAAAAAAAAAAACGCGTGGTACAGCTTGTGCTTTGTTTTCTGTTTAATTCACGAAAGTGTATTTTTTTTCAAAAAATTGCATTTGAAAAATACCATGTGACATAAAAAATTGCAACGATCGCCATTCTCCAGAATCTTTACATAGTTCCATACAGGGGCGGACTGACAACTCATGGGGCCCCCAGGCAATAGGGGATCATGGGGCCCCTGTGTCCTTGCCCAAACTCAAAAAAGCCTATGACAAAGGTACCAGGGGCGTCTCATGGGGCCCCCTACTGACCCCGGGCCCTTGGGCAGCGCCCGAGTTTCCAAATGGTCAGTCCGCCCCTGGTTCCATAATTCCATTGTTACATAGTTCCATAATTCCATTGTTACATAGTTCCATAATTCCATTGTTACATAGTTCCATAATTCCATTGTTACATAGTTAGTCTGGCTGGAAAAAGACAAAAGTCCATCCAGTTCAACCATTAAAAAAAAAAAAAAAACAAGTTCTAATCCCCCACCCGCAGTGGATCCAGAGGAAGGCACAAATCCCAGCAAAGCGCGATCCTTCGCTACAAAAATGTATAATATTTGGGGTTTCTCAGTCATTTTCTAGCAAAAAGAATCTGGATTGAAACTCGTAAACAAAACATCCCAGAAAATGTTGGATCTTCGAGAGGTTAAAGTTGGATTTCTGGAAAGGAATGGACGGGTTCCAGCCTGAGCACAGCCCGGAGGCACCAAATCCTCCCCATCAGACCGCGCCGCCCGCGCAGACCCCCCATCAGACCGCGCCGCCCGTGCAGACCCCCCATCGGACCGCGCCGCCCGCGCCGTTCTCCATTCACCGTTATTCAAATCAGGAACAAATTTAACCACTTGCCTACCGGACACTTCTACCCCCTTCCTTACCAGGCCAATCTTCAGCTTTCAGCGCTGCCGCACTTTGATTGACAATTGCGCGGTCATGCAACATTGTACCCATATGAAATTTTGATCATTTTTTTCTCACAAATAGAGCTTTCTTTTAGTGGTATTTAATCGCCACTGGGCACTTTACTTTTTGCGCTATAAATTAAAAAAAGTGCAAAAAATTTGAAAAAAAAAAAAAAAAGTTTATTTGTTTCTTTTATAAAATTTTTCAAACAGGTATTTTTTCTCCTTCACTGATTTGCGTTGATGAGGCAGCACTGATGGGCACTGATAGGCGGCACTGATGGGCACTGATAGGCAGCACTAATGAGGTGGCACGGATAGGCAGCACTAATGAGGTGGCACGGATAGGCGGCACTGATAGACAGCACTAATTAGGGGTCACGGATAGGTGGCACTGATATGCAGCACTGATAGGCGGCACTGATAGGTGACACTGATGATGGGTACTGATAGACGGCACTGACTGGCATCACTTCTGGGCACTGACTGGCGGCACTGACTGGCACAACCCCTGGGCACTGACTGGTGGCACTGACTGGCAGCACTGGTGGGTGGCACTGGTGGGTGGCACTGGTGGACAGCACTGGTGGGTGGGCACAGGTGGGTGGCACTGGTGGGCACAGGTGGGTGGCACTGGTGGGCACAGGTGGGTGGGCACAGGTGGGTGGCACTGCTGGGCACATGTAGGTGGCACTTCTGGGCACAGGTAGGTGGCACTGCAGAGTGGCACAGGTGGGGGCACTGCTGGGCACAGGTGGGGGCACTGCTGGGAATGGGTGGGCGGGGGGGCTAGTGGGCGCACTGCTGATTGGAACTTGCGGGGGTCACTGCTGGGCACCGATCATCAGTGCCCTGATGATCGGTGCCGATCCCCGCTCTGACAACTGCCGGTTCTCGGCAGTACTTTCCTCACGATCTGACAGCGTGAGGAAAGTGCAGCCGAGAACCGGCACTTGCATTTTCCTGTGATCAGCGTGTCATTGGACACTGCTGATCACGTGGTAAAAGGCCGGTGGGATCGGCCTTTCACCACATCACGTGATCAGCTGTGTCCGTAGGACACAGCGATCACGGAGATCGCCGGGTGCGCGCCCCCTGGGGCGCGCAGGAGAGCGCGTTCTGGGAGGACGTCATATGACGTCCACTCAGAACTGGCCGGCCGCGGGTGAAGCCGTCTTTCGGCTATGCGCGGTCGGCAAGTGGTTAAACAGACGAAAGCGTTTTGCGTCGGCAGACGACATTTCCCTCTAATTAATGGAATGCAAAGCATCATCCAGCTTTCTGAAATCTACGTTGAGCGAGCCGCGCTTTATTCACCGCGCTCAAAGCTCGCCAGTCATGACTCGCCGGGAGATGAGCCACCTGCTCCGCGCAGCACTTGCGCCATTCACTTGTTGTACGGAATCTCGCTCGTCTTACTCACCACTTTGTCTTTTCCACCAACTCGCCAGCTTTATATTTACAGGAACGTCTTTGGTGGCCGCGACCCTTTAGTCCCGCGTCATCCTGTCTGGGGAAGAGTTCCCCGAGCGCAAAGAGGAATTCTGTTACAATGTATCACTTGGCTTTACTTCATTACTATGTGTTACATTGTTACTATGTCACCGGATTTCCCATCTAGGGCTCGCTGTGCTTATTGAACAGGAATTTCATCTCATGACACATTCATTGAAAAGACACAAAATTGCCAAAATGATAACATAGTAATATACTTGTAGATCCGAATCCGAAGGATCCTTCCACTCCGGTGTTCCGTCTTTTCCATCAGTTCACTCACTGCCAAGAAAAAACAGATCAATCCGTTCACATCAATTCTTCATCAGTTTACATCCTTTTATTGTCCATTTATATCCGTGTTTTATGGAAGAAGAATTGGGTTTCTTCCATTCAGAGAACGACTGTTAATGGATACGGATGTAAATGTCTTCTGTTCATCATCTGTTTACATCCGCTAGTCCATAGAAATCCATGGGGGTCCGAAAACAGACAAATCTCCCCGGACCCCGCATTCACCATATCCGCTCTCCCCGGACCCCGCATTCACTATATCCGCTCTCCCCGGACCCCGCATTCACTATATCCGCTCTCCCCGGACCCCGCATTCACTATATCCGCTCTCCCCGGACCCCGCATTCACTATATCCGCTCTCCCCGGACCCCGCATTCACCATATCCGCTCTCCCCGGACCCCGCATTCACCATATCCGCTCTCCCCGGACCCCGCATTCACCATATCCGCTCTCCCCGGACCCCGCATTCACTATATCCGCTCTCCCCGGACCCCGCATTCACTATATCCGCTCTCCCCGGACCCCGCATTCACTATATCCGCTCTCCCCGGACCCCGCATTCACTATATCCGCTCTCCCCGGACCCCGCATTCACCATATCCGCTCTCCCCGGACCCCGCATTCACCATATCCGCTCTCCCCGGACCCCGCATTCACTATATCCGCTCTCCCCGGACCCCGCATTCACTATATCCGCTCTCCCCGGACCCCGCATTCACTATATCCGCTCTCCCCGGACCCCGCATTCACTATATCCGCTCTCCCCGGACCCCGCATTCACCATATCCGCTCTCCCCGGACCCCGCATTCACTATATCCCCTCTCCCCGGACCCCGCATTCACTATATCCGCTCTCCTTGGACCCCACATTCACTATATCCGCTCTCCCCGGACCCCGCATTCACTGTATCCGCTCTCCCCGGACCCTGCATTCACTATATCCGCTCTCCCCGGACCCCGCATTCACTATATCCGCTCTCCCCGGACCCCGCATTCACTATATCCGCTCTCCCCGGACCCCGCATTCACTATATCCGCTCTCCCCGGACCCCACATTCACTATATCCGCTCTCCCCGGACCCCGCATTCACTATATCCGCTCTCCCCGGACCCCACATTCACTATATCCGCTCTCCCCGGACCCCACATTCACTGTATCCGCTCTCCCCGGACCCTGCATTCACTATATCCGCTCTCCCCGGACCCCGCATTCACTGTATCCGCTCTCCCCGGACCCCGCATTCACTATATCCGCTCTCCCCGGACCCCGCATTCACTATATCCGCTCTCCCCGGACCCCACATTCACTATATCCGCTCTCCCCGGACCCCGCATTCACTATATCCGCTCTCCCCGGACCCCGCATTCACTATATCCGCTCTCCCCAGACCCGGCATTCACTATATCCGCTCTCCCCGGACCCCGCATTCACTATATCCGCTCTCCCCGGACCCCGCATTCACTATATCCCCTCTCCCCGGACCCCGCATTCACTATATCCGCTCTCCCCGGACCCCGCATTCACTATATCCCCTCTCCCCGGACCCCGCATTCACTATATCCGCTCTCCCCGGACCCCACATTCACTATATCCGCTCTCCCCGGACCCCGCATTCACTGTATCCGCTCTCCCCGGACCCTGCATTCACTATATCCGCTCTCCCCGGACCCCGCATTCACTGTATCCGCTCTCCCCGGACCCCGCATTCACTATATCCGCTCTCCCCGGACCCCACATTCACTATATCCGCTCTCCCCGGTCCCCGCATTCACTATATCCGCTCTCCCCGGACCCCGCATTCACTATATCCGCTCTCCCCAGACCCGGCATTCACTATATCCGCTCTCCCCGGACCCCGCATTCACTATATCCGCTCTCCCCGGACCCCGCATTCACTATATCCGCTCTCCCCAGACCCCGCATTCACTACATCCGCTCTCCCTGGACCCCGCATTCCCTGTATCCGCTCTCCCCGGACCCCGCATTCACTATATCCGCTCTCCCCGGACCCCGCATTCACTATATCCGCTCTCCCCGGACCCCGCATTCACTATATCCGCTCTCCCCGGACCCCGCATTCACTATATCCGCTCTCCCCGGACCCCGCATTCCCTGTATCCGCTCTCCCCGGACCCCGCATTCACTATATCCGCTCTCCCCGGACCCCGCATTCACTATATCCGCTCTCCCCGGACCCCGCATTCACTACATCCGCTCTCCCTGGACCCCGCATTCCCTGTATCCGCTCTCCCCGGACCCCGCATTCACTATATCCGCTCTCCCCGGACCCCGCATTCACTATATCCGCTCTCCCCGGACCCCGCATTCCCTGTATCCGCTCTCCCCGGACCCCGCATTCACTATATCCGCTCTCCCCGGACCCCGCATTCACTATATCCGCTCTCCCTGGACCCCGCATTCCCTGTATCCGCTCTCCCCGGACCCCGCATCTGCAGACTTGTCACTGCTGCTTTAACTATGGCAGATGGATTGGGGACAGAGGAAGAAGAGGAAGGGCAGAGAAGACAGGATCAAACAGCCTTTTTCCACAGTGCAGAGGATTAACCCCTTAGGTCCCACAGTGGGTATAACCAGCATGCTTTGCTGCATCTACAGAC